ATTAACAACCAAAATTTATAAATATGAATATACTACCAAATAAAATTAATTACACGGACATACCAAATCCTCTTTACAAGCCATACAATTTAATTTAAATTGATACATGGACAGACAATATATATATATATATATATATATATATATATATATATATATATATATCTGCGTCCATCGTTATATGAATACAAATGCCAAAAAACCATATTGCTTAGACAATATAATTAATTGATACCAGTTATTTAACCCAATAATTACCCAAATGATTTTAACACAACTTGCAATTTAGTTAACAAAATATATGAAAATCAAATAGCACATAAATATAACTAAATCGAAATTAAAATAAAAACTCGATCGTTATAATTTTCTAAAACAAAAAAAAAATGAATCCATATCGAACCGAAATGTTATAATTTCCTCAGATGTTGAAAACTTTCTATTGATTTCTGTATGAAGAAATAAACAAGCTATCAACTTTCGTCGAGTTTCCTTCATTTTCTCGCTGTTTTCCCGGCGGCCAAACAGGGTATTCCGGAGAAATTCGCGAAAACCCTAGCACACTCAGACGGGCAAGACCGTCCGGGTCTGACCCGATTCCGAACGCAATCGCCGATGTTTCCAGAGGAAGAGAACAGCGGCAGCGGTCAAAACGCCAACCGCGTCTGCGACTGCGTCCTTGGCGGAGGCTCCGGCGGAGGGGAAGATTCCGATCTGGTCGGCTAACTCTTTGGCAGCCCCGGCGACGAGGGAGATCGCAGATCCGATCCATATGAAATTGCGGCGGATGAAGGAGTAGCGAGAGAGAGATGCGACAGTTGAGAAGATGATAGAGACAGAGAGACAGAAGATTACATGGTACAATTTGTCCGGAGCCAACCATGGGTCTTCTCCGCCGCCATTGCCGACTTCCTTCTCCATCTCTGTTCTCTATCGGAATTTCACAGCATTATAAAAAGCCCTAAAAAACCCAACTTTTTCAGAGAAATGATTCGAGAAAGATTAACAGAGACACTATAGTTCGAGAAACACAACATTTCCATCTGGTATGGTTTCAAACCAGAGGGGCATGCAAGAAAAGAGACAGACTGTTAAGTGAAGAGATGGTTTGAACATGGCAAAAAAAGAGAGAATGAGGCAGAAACTGCAAATCTTTAGGTTCCAATTATCAAATACAATGGTTCTTATGCTTTTTATAATATCAAATTACAAAATTTAGAGGAACAACTCCACAGCATTCCCTGGCCTCGCACAGATTTTAACCAAAGATAGTTGTCATCAACGTGAAAAACACATCTTGATGCTGTTGTTAATTCATTTTGCTGATCAGATCATTGATCTGTTCTTCACGGTTCCCTGTATCGCCTCCTTCACTGAAAACCTGTTTTCTCCCATGCAAGCAATCCCTCTCCGGTTTGTTGAGTTTCAAGGGTCCCAAGAATTTCATGACCTCCCTGAAGTGTTGACCGACATTCGAAATCTCATGCACTAAGTCCTCTATGCTTATGATTCCATGTTTCCCAAGTGCCTAAAACACATTTATACAGTTTTGAGGACGAGTTAGAATGATCTAAGAATGGCAGAACTGAAATGTGGGGATAAACAAAAGGGGTTCTGCTTCAAATGCTAACTCTACCTGTTCAATGATGGTGTTGTCAGTGAGAGGAACTGGGTTGCCGTCCACCTTTGCATAACCCTTCTTGAATATGAGTTCTCTTACGCTCTTTAAATTCGGGTATCTTCAACAACGCCAGACAAGGTACCAAATTTAGATAATCGAAGAACCGAAAACAAAAAGATCATGCACAAAAATTTATAGAGAGGATTGTGTTTGACATCCATCACAACAGCAGATCAGCAATAGGAAGAACCGAGGAGGATTTTCGTCTCATACCCGTAAGTCACATAAGGCTGCACCTTCAGCAACTTCCGGAGTACAGCATCACTTGCTTTAGCAAACACACCGGTGAATACACTCCTTAATCCGAGGCTGTAGAGAACCTTCTTGGTTCTCGGGTGCATGTCATTCTTGCTGGCAAGTGAAAAACATTTAGCACGGGGAAATTTACAGATACAAAGATCAGATCCCTAGGAGAAAAATTTGAAGTCTCAGAAGTACATATTACCCTTGTATGCGAATGATGAAGAGCAAGTCTGATTTTAGTTTTGGAGGTGATGATTTGAGCCTCTTCATCCTTTGCTTCAACCGGATATTATCCAGCTCCTAACGGAAAAAATTAACACAAACTATTGAAACGATGCTTGCTGACGATACAATGTACAAAGCGTAATGTAAAATATGTGAAGAAATCTCAAATACAGAAAAAAGACGATTGATAACCATGAAAAGAAGTAGGGGTAGAAACAAGTTTCATCCGTCACTTCGTATCCACATAAACCAATCTAAATGCATGTACTAAGAAGGTAATCAACAGATGTTATATATATGTGAGTTCAAATCAAACCGGAATGCAGAAGCAAATTCTTGTCCAAATTAGTCAGCAAACTTAAGATAAAGGCAAAGAGCAAACTCGAGAACTGCATCACGGCATGATTGACAGACATTTTCTAACAAGTTTAGTAGCAAGATGATAACGTCAGGTTAATTTCAAACAAGCCCATAAACCCATGGAAAACAAATCAAGATCAGATAAGAACTACCTCGTGAAACTGGAAAAATTCCAATGAGCAGACAACTAAATAACGATCGTGTAACATTCGGACGCTCAAATCAAACATACCTTAGCCCTGAACTCAAGCACGAAATCTTCAGGCCGTTTGATGTTGGAAACTTTCTGCTTCTTCTTCCCGAAATTTCCCAATTCAAGCTGCTTCTTACGGAGAAAAGCAAGCTCATCCCTTTTCTTCCTCTTCTTCAATATCACCTCCGGAATATAATCCAACGGTTTAGCCTCTTCTCCCGCAGCTTCAACACTGCACAAGCAAATGGACGAATCAGCAGACTAACAAGCGTAGGAGAAGCCAAAAGAGGCTACAATACGAAAGACACTTACCCAGACATATTGTCTCTTTGAATGCCAACGACGACGAACCACTAAAAGAAGTCTTTTCTCTCTGCCAAAAAAAAAATCAGACACATGAATATGCTTCCAGATCAAAATCACCCGGGCTAAAAAAAAGTACAACAATGAATCAGAACAAACCCAGATCGAAATCGAACGAAAGCCACAAAATTGCGAGAGGGCAACGAGAAACTGAGAAGAAAGTAGTATGAGACACACCTCGGAGGCTTCGGTGGCTGCAGGTAAGAAGAAAGAAGGTAAGAGACGAAGCCCTAGCACTACGTCCGTTTGAACCTAAACTCGTGGCACATCCCAACTATGAACCTGATCTGGCTTAGGGGTTAGGGTTACCTCAACTCATTTGGGAGCCTGCATTGACACTAAATGGGCCCAAAGTGAAGCCCAATATCTTTTATATAATATAGGCCCATTTAGCTCCATTTGAAACGTCGTCGTTTTACGTCATTCAGAACAAACTCATGTCCGTCGTAATACTGCCTAGATTTCCCACGTTTAATTTCCAGACTGAATTTGATGTTCTAACCAACAAAATCACGAAAAGCTAAGCTAATGAAAGAGCTAAAAAGTAACGTAAAACCCTTTTGAGATATAAATGATAAAACAATATACAGAGCCAATGCTATTTCTATTCAGAGAACAATTGCAAGGCACGAACAAAAAGATATGTTAAGAAACAAATATAAACAGAGAGATTATATATTTGATCTCTCATTCGTTCTCTAAGGAAAGATTCATTTTCTTTAAGCTTTTGTAATTTGATTACTTGATTGATTTCAGCGAGCGACCTGTCCATTCTCAACCCCTAATCCATACAAAACCCCAGAATACTTCTCCATAGAGCCACTGAAGAAATTCTCCTTCAGCTTCCAGAAAGTACATGATGTGAGCAAACTGTCCGAACCTGCCTGATGACAGATTCCGACACGTTCAACCTCAAGAAGCTCGGCCAGCTTGTTCAGACCGCCGTGAAGGCTGTTGCAGAACTTCATCAGGTGTTTGATGTCGTAAACCATTGGGAAATATATCTTGATCAGCTCAAAGAACCCTGATGCTTTCTCCGGCAGATTCTGGCATGTCAGGAGCTTCAGCAAGTACCCGAAATCGTACCCGCTGTGGAATGTCACCCAGTGAACGTTCTCGTTGAGAACGATTCCCGACGACATCAAGAGCTCTGCGTATCTCCTGGAATCTATGCCATTGTCGTTGTTCTTGGCGAAATCGATGCCTGATTGACGAAGAAGGTCGATGGAATCGCGGGCGAAGATGTCGGAGTTGAGGTCGAATTCCCGGAAATTGAACTGCCAGATGCAGTACTTGTCGGTTCCACATGTGGGGAGGTTGCCTTTCTCGTCGGAGAAGGTAAGTCCGAGCTGAAGGCTGTTGCAGAACTTCATCAGGTGTTTGATGTCGTAAACCATTGGGAAATATATCTTGATCAGCTCAAAGAACCCTGATGCTTTCTCCGGCAGATTCTGGCATGTCAGGAGCTTCAGCAAGTACCCGAAATCGTACCCGCTGTGGAATGTCACCCAGTGAACGTTCTCGTTGAGAACGATTCCCGACGACATCAAGAGCTCTGCGTATCTCCTGGAATCTATGCCATTGTCGTTGTTCTTGGCGAAATCGATGCCTGATTGACGAAGAAGGTCGATGGAATCGCGGGCGAAGATGTCGGAGTTGAGGTCGAATTCCCGGAAATTGAACTGCCAGATGCAGTACTTGTCGGTTCCACATGTGGGGAGGTTGCCTTTCTCGTCGGAGAAGGTAAGTCCGAGCTGAATCAGCTTCAACATGTCCACGTTCGTCTTCAAGGTCTCGTAGTTGTAATCATTGCTCGTCTTGAAGGTCCCGACAGGTCTGCAAACTATTCCGGGGAACTCGGTGTCCATGGCGACGTACGGGAAATCTTCTACGATTCTCCGGATCAGAGCGAACTCCTCCTCCAGATTATCGTTCCAGACCTCGCGAATCTGGATCGAGTCGTCCTTCAGAAACAGCGACATCTCTCCTGCCGACGGTCCAAAAGGTTCGGCTACGAAGTTCAGAAGAATCTGGGAAGCGATGGAGACGGAAGAAATCGAAACCCTAGAACGTATCTAACACAAGATCCGATCCCATCTGCGATGAATACAACACCAATAAGCAATACCGAAATCACCAAATCAGAACTAAATCGCCCAGGAATCACTAAATTCAGTCTGACGGAACCAAACATCAAGACATCAGATCCCGCGTATTCACGCACACAGGCACAACTGTGAAGAATCAACAATACATCCGAGAATCACACATCTACCACATATATATATAGATAAAGAGGGAGAGGCGCTCATGGCGGTGATGCGAACCTGGGAAGCAGAGCGAAGGAGATGGAAGATTCTGGAGAATGAGGCGTGCGTGGCTAGGGTTTTCCGAGGATGTGGTGGCGTTTATTGAAGGGAAGAAGATTTTTCTCGGAAAACGGTAAAAATCGAATTTCACATTTCCTTTGAACAAGATGTTTTTGAATATTTCTTTGGTTTCATGTTTTTTTTCCGCTACCCTCTCTGTAATTATTATTTTTAGGGTATCATTCAAAAAATCAAAGTTAAAACCAAAATTTAGAAAAATAAATATACTAGTACTAAATAAAAAATAAAACCAAAATTTAGAAAAATAAATATACTACTAAATAAAAAATAATTAAACGCACATACCAAATCCTCTAATTACAAACCATGAAAATTAATTTAAATTGATGAATGGATTTGAGAAATCCAACAACCAACATTGAATGGGAGGAGACTCACGAAGTTTTTAGATTTTAAAAATTGACAATAAATTTTTAAAATTTTGATTTTTCTAAAAATCATAATTTTTTAGATTTACAAATTTATGAAATCAAAAAACCAAAAATCAAAAACTAAAAATAAAAACCAATATCATTCGAAACCAAAGAAATTCATACAAATGTAGGGTTTCACCCTAAAGAGGAAAGAAAATGGATAAAATGCGTAGTTAGTGCAAGTGTTTTTTAGGGATCGACATTGATTGAGTTCAGTTCGCAACTAAAGATGGTCGAATTCCATTTGGTTAAATCCAACGAACGTTATCGTGTTTGTCTTTTTTTTTTTTTTTTATAATGTCAATTCACCATTATATGATTAAATGCTTTCCCGTCAAATTAATTTATTTCTTCTTTTATTTTTTCTGCCTTTCGAGATTTAATTCCTTAGCGGGTAGAATGTGACCCTTTTTTTCCACTTTATTTATTATTACCCAATTATTTATTTATTTATTTATTATTATCCATATTATCCTCAAGAGTATAGGAACAAGGTGAGGTTGAAAAAAAAAGTGAGGGTCACTTAGCCTTATTTGGAAGTCATTTTAAAAATAATTTATAACTGTTACGAATCTCGAAAGATATAACTCAAGATCAAAAGGAACGAAACCGAAAAATTTATACGATCAATCCCAAATAAAATTGGTATTAAAGCGTTGAAAATATTTTAATAAATATAAATTTTTTAATATATTTAAATAGGTTTGTTTTTTCGGAATTCCTTTGTTATTTGGTGGTATATTATATGAGTGGGGAAAAAGTATTGCTAATTTTAAAAGTAAAAGCGATTAGTAGTGGTAGACCTCTATTTTTGCCTGATTTAATTTAAATAAGAGACTCTCCACACCCTTTTCAAAAATTATGTTCTATGAATTCTACCATATTAACAACTTACATGTTATAATAATACAACTCCGGTCAGGTGGTCTTTATAATTCATTAACTAAGAGTATGCCTATAATCATGATCATTGCAATTTTCAGTATCCTATATTCATTTATTTGACATGAGAATAGTTTTAAGAAAACTACGTTCTTCTGTTTTTATTAACTTTTTAAATATATATATATATATATATATATTAATATAAACATACTTTAGTAATAGTAATCAACACGTTACATATTGGATTTATAAAAAAATGCATAGGTTGTGTTGTAATGCTGTTCCGAAATTGTACAACCCCACTTTGCACCATAATTAGTCGTGTTACTTTATGTTTATTTTGATTTTCCAAGACCCAAAAAAATATATATGTTGGGCCCAAAAGATAAGGAATATTAAGCTTTATAATGGGACCCGTGAAATTATTAAAGTATTTGCATCGCCATATTCAAATGTATACCCCGTTAGAATATAGAAACTGGCGTCTATAAATACATGTAAATTTGGAATCTGTCACTATATTCCATATATAGATGATAAATGAAAAATTACAAATTCGACGGAGAGCGCAAATTAATCAGGGAAATATAAATACGAAAAATGCAAATTTGTTAATTGGATAAAAAATTTATATTAATTACTAAAAGATAACTGAAACCGCAAATCTCAATGATACGTTGGTGGCATCTGCGTAATTCTGTCCATTTTGAGGGGTAATTTCATGTTTTCGAGCATTTATATACAAGCAAGCAGCCTTCCGCCGGAGGGACTTCGGTCCGGCCACCTTCTGCCGCCGGCGCTATCCTCGCGCTCTCTCTCTCTCCAAACTCCCCCCAAGAATATTTCTCTCTTTTCGCGGTCGCAGATTTTAGGAAAGGCGAAACGGGCGTTTGGTGAAGGGAGCCTAAACTAGGGGACAGTCACATCATCGCGATTCACCAAACCGAGAAACCTTATTTTTAAGCGGAGGATTTGAGGACGAGAGGAGAGGGCGAACGCGAAGAAGAAGAGAGAAACAAAGACGGAGAAGAAGAAGACCACGAAGAAGAAGTTGAGGAGGGTAAGAAAAAATGCTGTGCCGGAAAAGCTCGAGCTTGGTCGACAAAGGCGCGGTTCCGGTTTATCTCAATGTCTACGATCTAACTCCCATCAATGGCTACGCTTACTGGCTTGGACTCGGCGTTTACCATTCCGGTGTTGAAGGTTAGCTTTTTTTTTTTTTAAATCCTTCCCAGTTTCATGGTGGTCAAACCGTTTCTGGGTTTGCTTGAAAATTTCTGGATGTTGCGGTTTAGATCTGAATATGAATAGATTCGAGATTACGAAGGAGATCAGGTTAGACCAGATTTTCGTTGGAGTTCAAGCATCCGTTTTCTATTGATCTGAATGTCTTTGAAATACTTTTCCCTCGAATACGGGTCTGATTCAAGGTAGAGGCGGCAATGGATTTAAGTTTCCCGGAATCTACGGTAAATTTCCGTGATAAAGGTCGAAACTTTTTTCTTTTTTCTGGAAAAAAGAGTCTCTGGTGTCGACAAACTCGTTGCCCGTTATCGTTTTTCCCGGAAAATGTAGCTTTCAAATCATTGTCAGAAGAAAATTAATCAATGCAAGCTGTTTTTTTACTTGAATCCAGATTTTTATACCTCACAATTATAGAATGAAGTTTGTGTGTACAGTCATACAGAAGTTAGGTCGTGAGGGTGGCGATGTGTATGACGTCAGCTCAATGAGGTTAATATTGTGAAAGAAACTTTAGAAAAAGAAAAGATCCCTCAAAATATTCTTCCGCCGTGGATTTCCAAGATTAATTACCTTACCAATTTGACAATTATTTTACAAATCCATTACCCTTTCTGCAGTTCACGGCGTAGAGTATGCCTTTGGAGCTCATGAGTACCCGACAACAGGAATTTTCGAAGGGGAGCCAAAGCAATGTGAAGGGTTCACGTTCAGAAAGTCGATTTTGATCGGTAAAACGGACATGGAGCGGCGAGAGGTGAGATCTGTAATGGAGGAACTGGCAGAGAGCTATAAGGGCGATTCTTACAACCTCATCACCAAAAACTGCAACCATTTCTGCGACGAGGCTTGTGTTAGGTTAACCGGGAACTCCATCCCCAGCTGGGTTAACCGGCTTGCGAGAATCGGTAAAATCTCCGGTAACCTGTTTTCCTTGGATCAATTCATTTAGTTTGCATTGATGAATTTGACAGTTATAAGAAGCAAACTTCGATTTACACTTGAGGGAATAGGTTGGTAGATTATCAATACTACCCCATTCAATGGGAAAGCTCGTCTTTTGCTCTATTTGGACGAGGAGATGGATTCATATATGTCGGTTGTATGTCGGAAAAACTCGGCTATGGCTGAAAGTTTCGTCCTTTTTTGCTAGATTCATACGTTTCTGATGAAAAGAACAAAGGTTTGAGACTGATATCTTACTTAAAGATTCAATCTTTACACAGAAAACAGAGAACACAAGCTTTGAATAGGTAACTTTCGATTTAGATTTCGTGGCCTGAATCTTGTTTGTTATCTGTTCTTGCAGGGTTCATGTGCAACTGTGTGCTTCCGGCCACCATAAACGCGACAAAGATAGGGAACAACAGAGTGAACCAAGACAGACCATCATCGGAAGCAGCGGAGACAGAGAAGAAGAAGCTAACGAGTGAATCCAACAGGGAGACTTCCTCTACTACTTCGGTCAACTCTTTGTCTTCGTCGTCTTCATCTCCTTCGGTTCAAGTCCGAGGCCGAAGCAGGAAAAGGCGTGACCGTTCACTTCGGCCTTCCTCGCCTATGGTTCTTGGTTCTTCTACCGTTTGATTTAATATGACGCATTTTAAATATAATGGGAACAAAAAGAGATGTTTTATACAGAATCAAAATATGATTTTTAGCTTTTTCTCTTCCAATATATATATTTTTTCTCTGGATTTTTTTTTTGTCAAAGATCTGGATTTTATTTTTGTTTTATTGTCTATTTATCTTATGATTATTCGTTAGACGAGAGGTATAAAGAATAATATAATTATAAAAATTATAATTTTTTTTTTCATTTTTTCATTTTTTAGTGTGATGGGAATTTTATTAATACTATTGATACGTGTAATGAACAAAATATAAAAAACCAATTTTTTTCAATTTGACACAACATTACGAAAATAAGAATACCCTCCATGAGATTGAGAACTATATATATTTGTTTGATTTCATGTGTTAACGTTGACTCTATCAACTCGTCGGAAAGATGAGCGGAGCAATTTACAATTTGCCGGAAAGATGATGGAGAGAAATAATTTTTTATAGAGAGAGAATGTAGAGAGAGAAAACATAAATTACATTCACCAAAAAAATGTATAGGACTTGAGCTGAAATACAACGTTTTTAGTTTTTTTATAATGTAAAAGGCGAATCTTTGACCCGATCACATCTCACATCTCATATATCCAAAAAATACATGTGAAAAGCCTTTTCAAAGGCTATTCGAACTCGTATTGAAAAAGAACTCTACTCGTTTCTTAACAGGTTTTAGATTACAAAACTTCTGTTTTCATTCTAAGAGTTACCCCTTATGTATAATATACTTATGATAGATAGAACTCCTTCAAATCTTAAAAGATTTATTATACTTTTTGAGAAATAAAATTCATGAGATTCGCCTAATTCAAATGAAATGATTGCAAAGTATGGTGTATGGTGAAGAGAAGACAGAGTAGAGTAGTGTTTTGATTGATGGGCATGTGGAAATGGTAGCTTTAGTCAAAAGCAATGAGACCTACTCCCCCTCCCTCCTCGTTATCAAATTATTGTCAAATAAAACGGCAAAATTTTCAATTACAAAAAAGAAATGGCAAAAATTCAAATAATCCCCTATCGCCTAGATTACATTATTGTTGTTGTTATGGTTCGAATATCTGCGATATTCATGAGATAGATTCAATTCCATATACATACGGAAACTTGTAATATGTAATATGTAAATTCGAAAATAATTCCTAAACTAGGGCACAGCATAAAAAGAAGAAGAAGAAAACGTTGGATTCTCTATGGAAAAAAAAGACACATTTTTCTTCATGCCACGCAATTATTAACCACATATATTCGATTTTGATCGTTTTACAACCCATGTTTTATTTTCTCTAAATTTACATTATATTTTGTCATCCATCCTTGAATTCTTTGAATTTAAATTTCAAAATTTTCTATTTTTTTGTTCTACTTTTTATTATTTTATAAGAGCATATAAAATATATGTTGTTAAATTGGATGCTAGAACACAAATTTTAACAAATAACCAACAAAATCGAAAGAAAAACGCATGACCGTACTTTTGCCGGTCACAACAACTTGAAGATATGTTCCGATGCTTTTTTTAGGTATTGTCTGTTCACTTTCACTAATTCGAATGTACAATTAGAATTTGTAACTCAAAGATGAAATATCTCAAGCATGTTACAAGAATCATATACGACGTTCTATATCATCTTCCTCATGTTTTCCATAAATTGTGAAAAATTTTATGGTTGAAAACAAAAGAAAAAATGTATTGGAAACCAGCTCCCAAGAGATTTTAACCTGTCCATTGACCCTGAAAGATCCTACAAAACAAATCAAAATAGACGTTAGTACTCAAGGGGGGAAAAAAATACTGTTTAAAGGAATGAACAAACGTGTACCGGGGTGGACCGAGGCTAGACCAATGGTTACAGGAGCTTATTCAACCCGGTTATCTTTAAACCGGGTTCTTTTGGGGTACACAAATGAGATTTAGACTGTAGTGTGTGAAGCTGAGTTCGAGAGTAACATACCCAAGTGAAAAAACGGAAGCTTTGAGCAGCCTGACGAAGATGGTAACTTTCAGGCTTGTTTTTCTCCAATCCATTCGACAAAGTTGTCGAGAATCAATGGCCATGCAAGCTCGGGATCGTAGTTTGTCATGTCCGGGAAACTTATCTGTCAATTGGGTAACTTAGGCAATGATAAACAACGGTACGCTGAATGCAAAGCATTGATGGATGAAGCGAAGGAGACGAGCCAAGAAGCACAAAAATACACCTCATTGCAGAACCGGTAAAAGCCCATCCACTGGTCCATGTTCACGACTTTGTAATCACTCTGGATCTGCGATAACAGAAGGAAAAAAAAAACGGATGAGTTTCATATAGAGCTTCAGAACTGGTAAACTTCATGGAAAAGGGAACGATGAGGCGTCTCTCCGAAGATAAAAATGTGATCCAAACCTTGAGATACTCGATAAAGTAGTCAACTTGGGCACGGAATGTGGAACCCAATACAATATCCAGGAGTTGGCAGATAGTCTCTATGTCTATGCTCTTTTGTTTTTCCTCTGCATAGACAATTAACCGAAAGTTCACACCAGCACGAGAGGTGAAATGAAACTACTTCCTTGCTGAAATATAATTTTCATGGTACCTGTCAAGCAATACCGGAAGGCGTATGCATAGAAATCTGCAAAATTTGATGGCCTCTTTACCTTCAAGTCGACATGAGGGGAAAAAACATATATTAACATACTTCAGCCTTTGGAATTTCAGTAGATCTCATTCTATTGTGAAAATAGGAATATTAGGAAACCAAATGTAAAAGTTTGAACCTCTTTCTCGAGCTCTGGAAGGGCTTTCTTCAGTTTACTGACTGTATCAGCCCTCAATGCTTTCAGGCCTCTTCTCCACTCCTCCTACAAATGTACAACAATTTAAGTTCACGGAAAGTTCCGTTCAGATGATTTAACACAATAATGGAAACGGATCTCTCTTTTATACTCTGCACTTTCATTCAAAGGGGTGAATGATTCTTACCAGTGTAAAGTACCCTTGTTTCTCCCCTTTCATTTTCCTGCCACATGGAGTTCTAAAATTGAAGGATATACTGTCGTGCATAGAATCGAGAGAAGATGAACATTAACAAATTTTCTGAGTGATTACCAAGCAAGCATCAAGATCCTGATGTCGGTATGCAACACTTCCAAATCAGAGCATAGTTCTTCGATTCCTTCTGGACTGTTCAGATAATACCAAAAACATTGAGAACCTATTCCAAAACAGAAAGTAAAATCATAGACAAAAAAGGAATATCCCAAATGCTGAAAATTGTGCACACAAGATCATAAACAATGACGTTCAGGAAAGACTCATAAGAATGTGATATTAATCGGGTTTCACATATCATCGCAGAGAAGCCAAAACCCGTGAAGTCACATAAAGCATACAGTATCTTGTCGAGAAATACGATTCATACAACAAAGATCACTTCACTTACTCAATCGTAATGGAAGATCTATTGGCATATTGGTAAAACAAGTTATCTATTCGTTCCATCTCCTTGGATGAGGCCTTACTCGAAGCTGAAACCAACAAAAACAAACACAAAGTCATACCAAAATAGAAGCGACAGCAAACTTTGACTAAACTGTGTAACGTAAAACTATTACAGAGCACCATGACTCAAGTTATTGATCAATAGGATTAAGTAGAAGATAAAGAATCGGTAAGTAAATTCAATAATTTGACTTCATAGGTCAAATACTGATTTTGCCAAAGCCAATTAGCTCAATTTCTCTCCATCATCATCATCATCACGAGCAACGGGTTTTTCCATGATTATCCACCTTTTTGTTTATCACCGCAGAAACCCGTCGCCGGTTTTCCAAAATTAGCCTCAATAATAATCAAAAGCTCAGAAACACAGATAATTACAAGCATCGAAGCAAAACAAGAAAATCAAATTTTAAGCTGAACTACATGAACCCTAGGCGAATTCCGATCGGGAATTCAAAGGGATTAAGCAGAGAGAAAATATACGCACATACCGGAGCGAAAAAGATCCGTGGCTGAGGAAGTGATCGAATTGACGGAAGCAGGTTGACTCGATTTTTTGGTTGCAGAACGACGCATCTGATAGGAATCACAGACACAAAATATAAGATCGGATTTCCAGAGAAAACATGCAAAAAACAATAAATTAATCTGAAGAAATGAGAAGCACCAGGAAAGAGCTATGGCGAAACTTCGAGCTTCAGAAAACTCGGAGACGAAGCAGCCGGTTTCTTCCACGCAGAGAGAGAGAGAGAGAGAGAGAGAGAGAGAGAGAGAGATGGTTTCGTAGATTCTCGTCAGAGCCTTTCTAATTTTCTGTGCTCCTTTTTTTCTTTCTTTTTTTTTTTGCTTTTTTATTATGGTGTATTTTAGATTTTATTTTAGTTATAAATTAGTATACTTTTTTGCGTTTTTTTTTTGGGATTTTCCTTTTTTATTATAAATTATTACGCATTCCCTCAAATAGTACATTAGGGATGTAACTCCCATATACATCAAGAGCTTGATATTGTCTGTAACCAAAATATTTGATATCTTTTTTTTTTGTAAAGAAAAATATTTGATATAATCTAGAAAATAATCTATTTTTATTCCTTACCAAAAAAATAATAATCTATTTTTATATGCATTTATCAATTTTATTTTATCCCACCACTACTTACTATAATTTGACGTATTTAGAAAAAAAAAATATTAATGAGCCTATCCACTTACTATCACAAGGTATATATATATATATATATATATTTTTCATAATCGGTTGTTTTGTGTTATCTTCACGAACCAGTTATGTGATTAAAAATTGCATCTCTAATTTGAAATTTGAATTCGGGACGGGACAAAGGTTTTGTATCTCATTTTCACTGGTTCAATTATTCAAATTACGTAAAACATATAAATTTATATTCGGATTCAATTAAATCTAGTTTTTAAATTTTTAAAAAGTTACGCTCATTCCATTTTATATCGCATTTCAGTTAAATTTATATTATATGTTTTAAAAAAATCATTTCCACATATTTTTATATTATATTTCATTTGAACATTTTCGTCTGATTTCTGTAGTGTACACTCGAATCGAAAGCCACTTGTATATTGTGGAAGCCACCAACTCATGTCACGGGAAAAAAAAAATCATATAAAAATACACACGAAAATATTAATATGCAAATTTTAATATTTTTTTTAAAACGTACTTAAAATTATAAAATTTACAAGTAATTTTAAACAATTATATGGTATATAACGTCATTTGACATGTAATTTAATTGTTCAAAATTGTATAATATTCTGTGTTTTTTTAAATTTTTATAAAATTTATTATTTAATTAGAAGTCGAAAAGGTTTATATGAAATTTAAAAGTTAATATGAGAGTGGTTAATAAGTTCATGTATTTATATAAATTTTGTATTAAAAAATTAAATTTAAGTACACTTTTATGTCGAAACATTAAAATAAAAAGTTTTGGGTCGGAAAGATGAGAAAAAAAGAAGCCCAAGGGCAAACCGGTAATTTCAGATCGCATGTGGTGAAAATAATGAAGAAGATGGTAGATGCAAATGGCGTGGAGGAGTCGCGGAATTGCAGAATTCAAAGCTCATCGAACCGAGCAAACAATCGACAGATTAACAAAGAGCATTTGACACGTTGCTTTTATAATGTGTGTTCGCAATGCATGCATCTTTTTTATAATATAGAATTTCATCGTATTTTCGATCTAATTACTATCTCTATTTAAATAGAGATTAATTTTGCTTCATCTTTTACCGAGTTATACCATCTAATCTTGCTATATATCCGTTGTACAAATTTTAATAAGTTTCCTCGAATTCTTTCTTCCTTTTTAATCTCTATTTTCTCATCACTTTTTTTTTAAAAAACAAAAACTACTAGATTCAATATTTCCATTCATGAAATAGTTTTCTATTAATATTCGCATTCGTTTTTAGTTTGATTTTAGAACGTTATCTACGTTTATTTTTTGTACCCTAAACTCTAAATCTTAAACCCTAAATATAGAGTTGAAGATATATACATCTCATAACATAGAAGGTATATTTTTGATAGAGTCGGAGCTAAGTTTTATCAGATTCATACTAAAAGAATTTCTTTCTATTCAAATCGAACAAAACCGAGTTAGAAGAAAAAAAAATTGCATTCCATGGCTTGGCAATCACCCATTTTCAGTGTTGTAAATGTGCAACAGTTACAGTTAATGCCATTTTTTTTTACGTTGGAGTGTGAATCCTAATAAATATCCCTCATTATGGTATATGACAATATACTAATCAATGTGACAAAAAAAAATAAAAACCCCACATCGAGAATCAAAGAAGACGCCATGGACACAACTCAACTCGTATTTATCCAACTGCATGGACTAAACCTAGTTGTAATGCTGACAAAGAGTAAATGGAAAACAGCTTTGACCATTAATGCCATGGTACTTACAGTCTATATATATATATATGTGTGTATATAGTTGTATCTGCTCTCATGTGTGCAGTCCAATACAAAAAAAAAAAAAAAAAAAAAACAC